ATCTGTGGCAAGTGTATTTACTTTGTCTTTAACTGAACTCTAACTCAGCTCACAGACTGCTACTCCTTTTACAGACTGCAGAGGAAATGCTGTCCATAGAACCTCTGGTACCTACAGCTGCATCCAGACCAGCTACAGAGGGGCTTTAAAAGATAGATGCATGAAAGAGACATAGCTTTTACTTAAAAATACCCCCTCAAAAATCAGCCACATACTTGACACTCACAAATTAACCAGCCACAAAAGATCCTGGAAGTTTGGGGGTTTTTGCACTGATAACCTAGAAAAAGACAAGTAAACTGGAGGCAAGGCTTGCTGTGTCTCAATGCCAATGTTTTGCACTACAGCAGGTTCCTAGCACAGTACTTCCTACCCTCCAAACACATAAGGTGAGTACAGATAAAAACTATATACAATACTGTGAGAAATTCACAGTAAAATAACCTTGTATCAACAGTTTCAAAGTCAGCTGGACAAAATCCACAGCAGAAAAATCTGATACCAGCAGCCTATGGATCAACTGAAGAAACCAAGTCAAATTTAAGAAATTCCTTTTCACTATAATTGACCCAGTTTAAAATGTGAAGGTGAGAGGTGTCAAATCTAAACAAGTGTCAGACTGCCTTCATTAGCCACCAGAATATAGAATCTCACCTGCACCTAAAGCTGGAGGCTTAATCCCAAAATACTTGTATGATTTGATCATCACAGGACTTAGCTGTACCCCAAAGCCTGACTGCAACAATTCAACGCACTCTGCACAGCTGAGAAGGGCACCAGCTTCAACTGCTTCCTAAACTGGTTAAACTTTTCCAGCAGCAGCTTGATGTTTTATTGGTTTTAGAGTCAGTGAGGCTGAAAAACCTCAATGTCTATCACTAGACTGTTTCACCTGCCTTTAGATGTCTACTTCAAGATAAATCAGTTTTACGCAAGCAGAGACTGTATCTGTCCCTCACTACAAGGTACCCACGTCATGAACATATCCCCAGGTCATCCAATTTAATGTTTTGTTGTTTTTTTCTCTAGCATCTTTGATCTAAGATTCACTTCCTATTTTTACTTATTTTAATAAGTATTGCAAAGCAGAAAAAAAAAAAGTACGTTTTTTACTATTTGGTTTAGATTAATGAATAATTGACATTTGAAAAGAATGCAGACTGTGTGCAAGCTTCACAGATATTACAAATATTTGATCAAAACAATTTGTAATACATGAGACGAAAGCTGATTTCCCACAAGTGGTTTTACATCATATTTTGGATGCATTTTGAGAAAATGTGATTATTTCCTGACAAAGCTGAAGTCACACTGATGTTATAGAAGCCACTTTTTAGAGTTAATTGCCCCACACAAGATCCTTCATAATCATATAATTAGATTTGCTGAATGAAAAGTTACACAGAATTATGAAGTAACATTTTGAAGGGGCAGAATTATGAAGCTGCTAGGTCAACTTCAGCTTTATATGATTACGAAACTCAATTCCGCTCAGAGCCATATGCACGCCACCTGTTTAAGCATGCAATATAGACATTTTGACACAAAAAAAATGAAGGTGCCTGGCCTCAGAACAGTGTTCTAGAGCACAGCGAGTTAAGAACACTTCTGAGAATCCCAGCAATACCCACCTCAGTCGTTAAGGAGAGGCAGGACTGGATAGATGCTACCTAAAGCCAGCCCAGAGGAAATATGGCAGCAGGCAATGGTCTCTTGGATACTTGACTTCGGCTCTAAATCTTAGTCAGATACAATGTAGTTAGACAAAATGGCCTGATACCATCTATCAACCCTGCAAACTGTAAACCCTCTCCTCTCAGACCTACCCTCTCTGTCCAGAAATGGCTGTATCACCCATTTAACCTCTGTGAGCAATTCCATTTACTAATCTGGCAGAAAACAAGCCTACCTATAATTTCTATCTTGCACAGAGTATCAGAGTTGGCATAAAGATTCAGAACCATGCGACAGCAGGTAGAGGCATGCGGGAGAGAGAAATGGGAAGCAGGACTGCTTTCTGACTCACTACACCATCTCACTACTACATCTCTTGAAAAGTTACACCCAACAGCGGAAAGACAAAAAGAGAGACCTCTTTTTGCATCAAACTCTGGTCCTGGTCTGTCTCTACTAAGTTATTCACAAACTTTATCTAACAGCTCTTAAAATAAAATGCATGAGCAGGACTTGCATCAGAGCCCTGCACTACCCAAAGAGGGTAGGTTCCTTACAGACTTTTCTAGGGTACTTTCACTAGAATTCCGAGTATTCTGCAAACATTAACTGATTTAAATACTTTGTCAAATCAGCCATCCTGTACAGGCAGTAGATCAAGGGCACAGAGAGGCTAAAGTCAAGAACATACACCACTGACTTTTCAAAGGACTTTATGCAAGACAACAGTTTACCCCAAAGGTAGCACCCTTTGCCCTCCAAAAGAACCCCCAAAACAACCAACCAAAACCCAAAGAGAACAAAACCAAAAAACCCCAAACCCTGACACTAGCACTTCTGCAGTTCAGGTCTCATGATCCCAATGGCCCCAACTCCACCTTCCTCACTACTCACTGGTTCTAGTTTTTCCTATCTCCCTCACACCTGCCAGTCCACCCAGGACTCCTTATTGCCTTTCTATCTAGGGACAAAGCTACAGATAAACACTTGTTTTTTTTTGCTAGCCTCTACTAGACAACTGAACTGGTTTTACTCAACTATTTCTTTCAAAACCAACACATTAAAATAATCAGCTTAAGACAGGCACACAGAACAGGAAATGTTAAAACAAACAGTTGGAGGTTTAGAGATAAGCAATGGAAAACTGAATCTCAGAATGGGAAATGTTGGACAGTCTCAAAGTATGCAACACTTCCGGGCCTGCTGAAAGAAGCCTGATGTGCTCATTATGTGCTCTGTAAAGCTGATGGACTTCTTGAGTATTCATTTCCGAGTTTCTAAATATTTTGGCTTTAAAAATGAAGAGGCAATTAATTCTATTGTTCTCTGTGGAGAATCATAATTTGTTTTATGATAAAGTCTATTGCTGATATATGTTAGCACAGATTTCAGCACAGATAGGCCAAATGAGCCAGAAAACAGTCCTGTTTGAAGCAGCTCTCCCTCTCTTTTTTTACTGTTTAGGATTTGAGGCATATTAAAACTGTCACAGCCTTCATAAATGAAAGCTGGACTGCATTTTCATTGGCACTAGATCTCTGGGGTTTTGCTTGTGCGTGCAACCATTTGATAAGACTTTTATGAGCCCTAATAAAATACAACAAATACTTTACATATTATTTACTCAAGCACAGATGTGCAATACTGAATCAGAATCCATATGGAGCTCCAAGGCAGATCCTCCAGTTATCCAGGAACATTGGTATATTGCCTAGATGCTATACCTAGGGAGGGCCTTGTGACCACAGCCAGATGCGTGGCCACATCTGTACTATAAATGACAGCAAACCTCAGAATAAGTATAGAGGCAGCAGTTCAGATGACTTTCGTCCACTCCGCCAAGGGCTAGCTCCCTCCAAAGCCTACCAGCTGCATCCATGCTGCACAGTGCTCAGCCCAGGCCCCCTCCAGCTCCTCTGGGTCCTCAAGGGAGTTATTTTCTCTTATGATCTTTGGTTCTAGGCATCTATACAAAGCAAGGGTTGTGCTGCTGCATGGAAGAGAAGAGCTCCTGTAGTATGGGTGCATGTTTTATGTCCAAAGAAGGCAGGCTGGGAGCAAGCTAACACACAGGCTAGGTGGGTGATTAGGGAAACAGAAGCTGGCAAGGGACCAGACTGATAAGCTATTTAACAGTGTAAATGCATCCAGCTTTCAAGAATTCCAGAAAAACTGACACAAACTCAGTGCCATGCTGGCAAACATTTTTATTTGAAGTTCACAAGTTAGAAAATATTCTAAATTATTATTCAAGGCAAGAATAGCTATTATAAGAGATCACTTTAGAGCTTTAGCAGGTTCTTAATTCTACACTCTTCAAGGGAAAAAGACTTTTTCCCTTGCTGGAGATATCAGACAAGATTATGCTCACCATTTTCTGAAAGCAAAGATGTGCAGAGAAACATCTGAAATACTCAGAAAACCCAGTCTAAAAAGATCTCAGTGGTCACCTAGGGTCACACACACCCCAGCCTTTCAAAATTGCACCAAACTCCTGTATTTTCAGAAAAGCAGACAGTTTTGAAGACACATCATGCTCCACTGGAAGCACCTGTGAAAGTACGCTTCCAACCTTGGCACTTTTTAAGTGCTTGTATGAAAGGTGAATTTTGGAAACTGAAGCCCTCTCTATACTTTCTGTTCACCTGGAAGGAAGTTTGACACCAAGTTGTATTGAAAACTTGGCACTTATCACATAAAAAGCATTAAAAGATAGACAAACACCCTTGGCTTCCCTCTAAAGTAGGCTCCCATTAAGACCCTTTTCCCTGGGAAAGCCTACTTATTATTTGAGAGATACAAGCAATGCAGACTCCATAATAACTACACACACTAGGGACAGCGAGAGGTATATTAAATCCTCCTAGATTCTGACCTTTGTGCTATGGAGGATCTCTCTCCTTAGAAGCTAGAGATGAGGAGAACAACAAAGGCCTGCTCAGAGATAGCAAAAGGTAGAGGTAGAATATTCAGTTCTCATTAATCCAATATCTACTCCCAAGAAGAAAGTAGCTAGCTGAAATAGTTTCTACTTGCTATTATATAGGACCCATTTAAACTACAAGCAAACAGCCTACAGGATTACCAGCAGTAAAGGAACAAGCTCAAGGGTAAAGTATGTCATGGCATACTTTGTTTGCTTAGGGGGTTTCATTTCCTTTTTTTGTTTGTATTTAAATAAAAGCTCCATTTCTGCCAGGTTGAGCATGTTATTCCACACTACAGCATCCCAAGCACAATGAATCATTTAACAGTGGTAATTGTGTCCCCCTACACACATTTCCCATGTTTGTTTTACTACCCCATCAAAGGTTTGGTTCTCTTACCTTAATCACTTCTGGGGCCTGCTGAATTGAAGCTGGAACAAAGTCTCTGGAGGCAATCCCAGCACAGCATTTTTGCCCTGCAAGGAGGGACTGTGAAGAAGTTGTTAAAGTTTCCTGAAGAATTTGCATCACTTCCCGCTCCTTGGATAAGCTTCCCCTGCCTGTCTGGAATTCCACAAGCTCCTGGGCAAAGTCCTCAATGCTTCCCAGGATACGCAGTAAGAGGGCTTTATCGTCCTCTTCCATTTTATGTCCATTGGTTTCCATGATTTTTGACAAAGGGGAAGCAGGGTCAACTGGTTTACTTTTAGGTTCAAGAGACAAAGGTAGCAGCTGCCTACCCTGCCAGCCAAACATCTGCAAATGGCTAGGTTCACTCTCCTTTTTAGAAGGTTCCCTCAAAGTACTCTCCATTTTCTGTGAGAAGCACTCCAAGTCCAGCAGCAGTTTGTCTATCTCATCCTTGTCTATCTTACTGCACATCTGTTCTCCTTTGGAGACATCAGCTTGGGAACCACGCAATACAGAATCTGAAGCTGGTTTTAAAGAAGTGATTTTCTCAGAGGGGTGCGAAAGCTCAGCATCTCCCACTCTAGCACATTCCGCTTTAGCATTGGCAGCTAGATCAGAACCACCAGCTAGCTGATAGCTGAGCTCTAAACTCTCCCAGCCCCCCTTCTGCTCTGCCTTCTTTGTTTTCTCTAATGTTCTTTCCCCATCATACTCCTCCTCAATGTACAGAGCCTCAGTGGAGGATGTGCAGTCAGAAGGGCTTGTGGCTGGCAACTGAGGTAGAGCACAAGCATCTTTCACAGCTCTCTCACTGTTCTCCTGTGGGATGCTATGAAGGGAGTTTGAGGTAAAGGTCACAGTACTTGCTGGGATGGACTGAGGGGTGCTTGTCACCTCACACTGATCACCTGGTCTGAGAGAAAGTGCACTTGAGGATGGCTGCTGAATAATATCTTCATATCTAGGTGGCTGCTCATCTCCAAATACTGGGGGAAAGGGAGTTTGCTGCAAGCCATGAAAACAGTTAACCAGATCTGCTAAGTCACTAGCTTCCTTGTGTCCTGAGTGCTTGAGCTCAAAAGGTAGCTTTTTCAGGTATGAAGAAAATCTTGTCATCAGGTTCATATATATCATTTCTGAATTGGCCAGGGGGTCATTGCTGTTCACTCCACTAACACTGTCTGCAGATTTCTTTTTGATGCAATGTTTTATTATGTCTGTGCACTTTTTCAGATCCTCTGAGCACTTGAGCAAGATGTCTAAGCACACCTTGATATCTCCACCAGAACCACCATCTAGCTTGTGTTTTTCCAAAATCTGGGTAATGAAGTTTTCTTCAGAGAAGGAATGAGGGGAGAAGGGAACCATGGGACTATTCATGGTGACTTCTGGAGCATCGCTGCTTTCCTGCCATTTCTCCACGGGTGAGGGACTCTGCAAAAATCCACATGGAGGGCAGTTCTCATCATTGCTGAAATGCCCACAGATCAAGTCAAAATCAAATGAACGTCTGCTGAAGGATTCTGAGCGAACTTTCCTTCCCTTTCTGTAGGCCACGTGGCTGGAAGAGTTTTTGAGCTTTTCAAAGGAGAATTCCTTTATTTTACCACTGGCAAGGTTTATCGCCTCACCAGTAATGTCTTTCAAACTGCTGGAGGCTTGTACTAAAGACCCCTTTTTGATTCTTGGATTATTTGGGAGGATTTGGTGATAGTCCTCATTTCCAGGCAAAGCAAGTCCATTTTCAGGAACAGGAATTTTATGGTCTTGGTTGGCATCCTGGACACTGAGCTCTGCGCAGACGCTGTGGTGGGCAACTATGCATGTAACCCCTTGCTTAAACACTTGGCAAGTCCCTGTGCAGTAATGCACAGTGTGCTGAAAGTGCTGGTCTATCACCACACTGCTGTAGCAGTTCACAGAAGTGACCATAAGCCTGTAGGTTGCTGCCATAGCACAGATCACACCTGGAAGTAAGGCTTCAAAATTTACCATGAACTTCACAGGAAAAAGTTCACCCCACACAAACTTTTCACAGCCACACCAGATTTGATAAAAACATTTCAATGTCAGTGGAAACACTCAAACTACATGAGAAACTTGGAAATGCCAAGTCTGCAGTGGTATCAGCAGTACAGTTATGACAATTAGTGCAACTTGCAAATGGTTTAACTTAAGGCAACTTGATTTTTGTACTCCATGCAGAAAGCTTTGCTGACCAGAGATGCAGCATAAGCTGCTCTATTTCTAATGGTCCAGGAAGCTTCTCCAGCAGGTGTCATAAAATTCAGCCCGTTCTTAGGCAGAAGCGACAATGATTTTTGACTCTGCTTTTGCGTGGGTCAATAAAAGATAGATCAAGTAGCACGTACAGACAAAAAATCCACAGTATGCTTCTGAGATTCCTCTCTCACACTGGTAAGGTAGGTCCCTGCAACAGAAAAAAGGTGTCATTATGATTTCCATGTAATATGCAGCCTTATCTACTACCAAGCATATGGCACCAGCCTGTAACAACCAACACACAAACTTGTACAGAGTAAGAGTAGGCCGATATTTTTCCTTCACTCAGATCTACCATATAAGAACACTGCTGAGGAGCTAGCCTATATTTATACACAGGCTGTCTGTGTGTTGCCATTTTAACAGCTCTATTTTAACCACTCATTAATTTTTTTCAGGCTTGCTTTTTCTCCTCCACAGACTGAAGAAAACATTACCTTGAATTCTAATGGAGCAAAACATTTGGATAACATGAATTTCTGACTTCAATTTTCCAAGACTCTAAAGATAAGGCAAAGAGCAGTGGAGAAAAGCACTTTCATGATTTCCAAATTCTCTGGATTATAAAAAGCTGCAAACAGCCTGGAGCAAAGTAGATGAATGCCCCTAAGAATGCACGCCTTTAAGAAAGGCCACATGGGCTTCCATTAGCCTTTCACCAGGGTCTCTGGGACCAGGGAAAAATATTTTAAGGAGGAATAACTGTTTTTCCTTTCTCTCAGAACCCATGAATAGCAGCATACTTTACACTTCTTTGTGTAGACATCAAGAACAGAAAGCAACATTTGCAAAAAGGTTAAGCCTGTGAAAACTAGGAATTGAGTGGTTTACACTTAGCACAGCCATTTTGAGTTGCATTTCCCTTCATCAGTTAGATGTACACCAGAAAAGACAAAAGTTGCTTAACTTTGTTACAAAAAGATAGAAAATCCCAGGTTTAAGATCTTATATTTTAGTTATTGCTTCATCTGTCTTTAATACTTCAATAATCAGAACACCCCAATGAAATTCTGAGCATCCTCTATATTCCTGTACAAACAGAAAACCACTTCATCAAACATGCTTATCTCACAGCCAAGTCATATTATCACATAGGTTTATTTTGTGGCTTTTAAAGGTAAATATCTAGCACCAAGTGAAAAGCCAGACCTGCACCTCATGAAAGGAATGCCCTACATGCACATTATATCCCACCTATCCTAGCTCATAAGGCTGTACAAATGTATCACACAAAAGGGAAGTTTCTGAGAGTTTGGTACTGTTGTAATTAAGAACTGAGGATAGCAGTTGACTGCTGAACTTCCACATTTTACATATTTTTAAAGTCTTAGTTTGCAACTGAGCAGCAGTGACAAGAGTATTCAACGGACTTTGTAGTGTGCCATGTGTGCTCATCACAATTAGGTAGACTTGCACACTGCAAAGAAACCTTCCTGATTTGTTCTTTAGATTATATAAAGCATTGAAACGACTGCATTCAAGATGAAGAACTAACTGCTCCAACTACCACGCTGGTATCTGTAACAGGCTGCCACCTGCCTATCAAACATCACAGGCCAAGTTGCATGTTGTGCCAGGGCCAGCTCCTCAGTACACTTCTGTGCCTGTCCTACTCCCCTCTACACCCACTGGCACTGCCCCAAAGCCCCATAGGCATGGGAGGGCCTTCCAGAGGGATGATCTGAGGTATGAGGTGTGCCACAGCAGTGAGTCAGGGTGCTGGGCACAAAGGCATAAACAGAATCGTTTTTAAACCCTGGGGTGCTTCTACCATCAGGCATCAACCCAGGTAATAAGACTCCACACCCTGCAGCCACTGACTCTCAGGCTTCACTATGGGGTGTGCTAAATGCTCTGCTGAATCAGAGCCTCAGTTAAGAAAAAGTACTGCTGGCTCCCCAATGTTTTCATCTTACAGGACTTAATGGGCTTTGTTCAGACAGGAAAACACATACTTCTAAGCCTCCAAAAAGTCTAAATGATCCACCAACTCCCTGAGAGTGCTTTCTAACACATTCAGGGTAAGAGGTCTTCTGCTTTTCCTTTTCTGAGCCTTCATCAATTACAAACAAACCTTCTGGCATTTCCTGAAATCAAAGTTAAATAATATTTAGAGGAAGTAGAATATTTCAGGACAAAAGATTTGATGAAGAATTAATATTGCTTCTGAAAATGCATGGGATTTTCTCTGAGCTCCTTCCATCTCACACAAAGCAAGGAGAAACTAGTAGTCTTCAGGACAGAACAGTCTGGGTTTACACCTAATTTGGGAAATAAATACATCTTGATTAAGTTATTCCTTAATTAGAGAAATAAGGTATTAGAATCACTATCTCCTTTTTTTATACAACTCCAAGGGTAGGTTTCTCCCTAAGGTTATTCAAGATGCTGGAGTACTTCATTCCAGCTATGCAAGACCAAAAAAACCCAATAAAAACACACAGAGAAGAACTACAAAGCCCCCACAACCAAACCCTATTATTGTATAGGCAGCACAAATACATATAGGTACAGAGTAGAAGACATTTTCCTCATTTTTCCCCCGGCTGAAACAACGTAGCACATGCACAGATTGTAGCTTTATTTTCCAGTGATCCATCAAACATGATCCAGCCTGTACACCTAGTCAAGACAAAACCTAAGCTGAGAGTATTCCTGTTACCATCTGGTGAACCTGAACCCAAGCTTAGCTTGAATGGACTTTTGTTGTGACTTTCAGTTGCTGACTAATACCTACTAGTTATGAATAGCAACAATGGAAAGACTGACTGCATGAAGAAACATTCATACTTTGTTCTTTTCAGCCTGCCATTTCATTCCAGTTGTGGCCCTAGAACAGCCCCCAATTCAGATATACTGTATAAAGATTCTGTAAATAGGACTGCTGCCACGAAACCAGTCCCAACCCTGAGGATATGGGACTGGCTTCACAATACAAACTGTGAATGAATAGGGCTTCTTGTACGACTGCAGAATAATGCTTTATGTCTTTCCTATCTGCAAGATGACATGAATCACTTTTCAAAGGAAAAAATTATTGCAGATGCTAATTATATAGAAGGTTATTATATAAAACACACAAGAAATTCTATTCATGCAAAGATTATGTTGGAGTTAAATAACTGAACAATGAACCTGTTAGGATGGGGACTGCCTTACTTGTCAGCCGAAGTCTCGAAAGCTACTAGACAGGCCTCTGCTACCTCTGAAGGCCTCAAATTCAGCAAAGACTTCTTGAACTCTTATCTCCAGCACTGGCAACAATACCATTAGCAATCACAAGATAGAAACCACCATAACGTACTATGGGGTAAACTAGCCCTTTCTGCACCAATGCACGGCATGAGGGTCACTATGCAAGTGTGCTTGTTTCTAGTAGAAGGGGTGTTAGGACAAACTCTCCTGTTTGGTATTCTTGCAAAGGACAAACAAAGACACACAGAACAACAGCTTTGCCATTTGGACAGTCATCAGTATAGTTTCAGAAGCATTATCCTAGCTACAGAATGAGGTGTCAGGTCTTACCCTCTTAGAGGAGCTTGTGGTTTCAAAAACCAGCATATAACTGCATCCTCTTATTTACAAATATGTGACTTTTGTTTGCAGTTTACCAAACAAAGTATCAATATGCCAATGCTCAAGTAACAGTATTATAAGACATACAGTATTTCCTAGGAATGCTCTCCTAGCCTCCAACTCTCTCCAGCTCAAGAGAGTTGTGAAACTGGATGTGGTTTCTCTGTACTTAGGAATCTTCAAAGGATTTCCCTCCCATGTGCTTGAGCATCCCTCAGATTCAACAGAAACCTTTCACATCTTTTGAATACATTCCATCACATACCACCTCTTTCAATTCTGTTACTCACCAGCTTCAGTATGTCAAGATCTTGTACTGAAACAGACCACAAACACTAGACCTGTATGCACATTATCCACAGCATTCCTGAATCTACCGAATTCCACATCCTCCCTGTCTTCTCCTTTCCAGGATTATTAACCCTTGATTACACAGTTGCTCTTGTATAGAAGCCACTTTGTGCCTCTGATCACTCACACTACTCCTCTAATAAGCTTTTCTAATTCAACTCCACACTTTAAGACGTAGGAATCCAAACTGTGCACAATATCCAGAACAGATTATCACTGTAGAGTACCCCCTCCTTTCCAAGCCTCACTGTTTTCAGATAATACATTCCAAAGCATCCACTCTCATGGCCACCTAGGTTAATTCATGCATTCTGTCCCTCTTGTTAACCCATCTTTCAAGGGGAAACAGTGATAGTGCTGTCCTTTGTAAAATGTGCAGGGAGCTACCTAATGATAGAATGCTCTATGCAAGTGGAAGGGTTTCACTCTTAAGAAGTTAAGACTAAAATTTTCATACAGTCTCATAAGAAAGGTTGGAAGATGGGTAACAACAACGATTCAAAGAACTGAGCAGGTTGTCTGTCAGGAGTGACTGAGCAGGACCAGGCATTTCCGACTGGAAGAGAGATGACTCTGGAAGAATATCATACTCTTCTACAAAATTATGAATGGCATGGAAAGGGTAGATATGGTCCGACTCCTCATCTCCTCCTCCAGCACAAGACATAGGTGCAATGAGGCACTGCAGGAAGTAGGTTAAAACAAGCACACATGCAGCAAACCTCTGAAAATGCCTCAAAGGATGTCACGGACCCGATAAGGTTCTGGGGAATCAAGAGGTCATGTTTTAATAACTCTTCTGTCAGCGGGTCATGTTTTAATACCTCTTACCATCTTTGCTTGGGTACCACTTGATGCCCTCTAATTCTTGCTGTATTTGAGTGACAAACAGGAAAGAATTGCTTCATATTCCCATGGTGGCAGATTACCATCATAATCCATCCCCTTATCTATCCTACTTCCAATCATGTATTTTCCAGGCTAAGCTTCAGTCTATTTGGCTATTCTTCTTAGTAAAAGCTGTTTCAATCATGCTCCTCTGTGTTTTCCCCTATTCTTACTCTAATTCTTTGGAGAGGGGAGAAAGTCTGCCCCTAACTTTGAGGACGGTATGTTATTCATTACAGAAACATAACACAGATCTACAGCTTGACATCCTGAATTGCTCGTTCTCCTTCTCCTAGAGATCTCCATGCTCCTCCTCCCCCCCCCCCTTTTTTT